ATCCCTGAGGCCCTTTTTATTCTTCCTTACACACTATGATCTTCCTGCCCACAACTGGATCCATAACAGGCAGCTTATGTTTAAAAAAAAAAAAAAAAAGCTTTTACCCAAGGAATATTTGCAGGTTCGGTTCAGTTCAGTTCAGTATCTCAGTTGTGTCCGACTCCTTGCGACCCCATGAATCGCAGTACACCAGGCCTTCCTGTCCATCACCAACTCTTGGAGTTTACTCAAACTCATGTCCATTAAGTCGGTGATACCATTTAACCATCTCACCCTCTGTCGTCCCCTTCTCCTCCTGCCTTCAATCTTNGGAGTTTCAGCTTCAACATCAGTCCTTCCAATGAACACCCAGGACTGATCTCCTTTAGGATGGACTGGTTGGATCTCCTTGCAGTCCAAGGGACTCTCAAGAGTCTTCTCCAACACCACAGTTCAAAAGCATCAATTCTTCTGCACTCAGCTTTCTTTATAGTCCAACTCTCACATCCACACATGACTACTGGAAAAATCGTATTTGCAGGTAAATGGCACATATGCTCAGGTAAAATGGAATGGTCACTCTGCTATGCACCTGAAACTATCACAGCATTGTTCATCATCAATACTCCAATATAAAATAAAAAGTTAAAAAAAAACATAATGAAACAGAAAACATTCATCAAATTTTAATGCTACTTAGGGGACTTTTATTGGGGCCAACCAAAGGGGTTTATAGACTCAAAAACTGGAAGCTGACCACCACAATCAGTTGTTCAGAACAAAGGCTGTGTTGGAAAATTAAAACAGTAAAACGGCATGGTGGTTGTGATTTTTTAAAATATTCCAGAAAAAAGAAGTGTGTGTGTGTGTGTGTGTGTGTGTGTGTGTGTGTGTAGGAGTTGTGAGTAGAGAATGAGAGCAGATTAGGATTGGAGAATGGTAAGTAGATAGTAGGTGTATAGGTTTTCACCCTACCATTCTTGCTACTTTTGGCATGCTTGGACATTTCTATAATAAAAAGTTTTAAAGAAGGATCCAAAAAAAATAAGAAGGATCCATTCCTGACAGTCAACTGGACAAAAATGTATTGAATGGGAGGTGTTAAGCTACCGGGATAATGGGGTGAACTATATCTGGTCTCTAACCTCAAAGAGCTCACAACTACACGGGAAGAAAAGCAAAGGAAGGAAGCGTTATAATCATGAGGGATAAACACTAACTGTGGCGGATTATTAAAATGGACCACAGATCACCCCCTCCCTGAATCCAAGCTTTTACAAGGCTATCTTAAAGATCATCCTGTAATGAGGTAGAGATAACATCTCCATTCTTGACCTGGAGGTCACAGAGGCAGAAGCTTGCAGCCAGCTCACGCACTGGTGCCCATGCTCTCCTGCCACTGAGCTTAATACAGGGCAGGAGACCACACAGAGAGAGACAGCAAGCGTCCCAGCCAGCCCAGATGATGGGCTCCAGCATGTGAGCAAAGCCACACTGGAACACCCAGCCTTGCTGAGCTGACCTCCGCCAGAAATGCCCAGACAACACAAAGAATGCATGATAAATGTTTGCCTTAAAGCACTACATCTGATGAGCTTTGTTACGTAGCAAAATATAACTGATACAGCAGTGAACAGATTTCTGCCAATCTTGGAGACACATAGATTTTACGGGCAAAGGTGACATTTAAATTGAGAAGTTAAGGGAGCCCAGTGCTCTGTGATGACCTACAGGGGTGGGAGGGTAGGGTGGAAGGGAGGCTCAAGAGGGGAGGGATATATGTATACACACATATCGTTATGACTGGCAGGAACCAATACAACACTGTACAGCAATTATTTTCCATTTAAAAATTAATTTTTAAAAATTTGGGAATTTGGGGAGGGGGGGACTTCTTGGGGGGTAATTTTGTTTCACCAGGGAAAGGCTTTTTTTTTTTTTTGGTTTATTGGAGGCGGGCTTTCCTTGTTACTTCGGGGGGAGGGTTTTTTTTCCATTGGGGGGGCCCCGGTTTTGTTCCTTGGTTGGGGAGGTTCTTTTGGGGAGGGAATTGGCACCCACTCCAGTACTCTTGCCTAGAAAATCCCATGGACAGAGGAGCATGGTAGGCTACAGTCCATGGGATCGCAAAGAGTCAAACACGACTGAGCGACTACACTTTCTTTATCAGAAGACAGCTGGAGTCTCATATTTGCTACTCTATTCAATCTGTTTCCATATGTTGTTTAGGCTGAAGTATAGAAAGAAAATTCTGCTTCTTGCTGATAGGTAATTGAAATGGGGAGGAGTATTTTAATTTGAGCCTTTCCTGAGTCTTTTCAGATCATTATGGGTTTTATTCTTGGACATGACACCAAACGCTTGCTCTTTGGAAGAAAAGCTATGATCAACCTAGACAGCATATTAAAAAGCAGAGACATTATTTTGCCGACAAAAGTCTGTTTAGTCAAAGCTGTGGTTTTTCCAGTAGCCATGTATGGATGTGAGAGTTGGACTATAAAGAAAGCTGAGCACCAAAGAATTGATGCTTTTGAACTGCAGTACTAGAGAAGAATCTTGAGAGTCCCTTAGACTACAAGGAAATCCAACCAGTCCATCCTAAAGGCAATCAGTCCTGAATATTCATTGGAAGGACTGATGCTCAAGCTGAAACTCCAATACTCTGGCCACCTGATGCGAAGAACTGACTCATTGGAAAAGACCCTGATGCTGGGAAACATTGAAGGCAGGAGGAGAAGGGGACAACAGAGGATGAGATGGTTGGATGGCATCACTGACTCGATGGACATGAGTTTGAGCAAGCTTTGGGAGTTGGTGATGGACAGGGAAGTCCATGGGGAAGTCCACTGGCGTGCAGCAGTCCATGGGGTCACAAAGAGTCAGACACGACTGAGCAACTGAAATGATGACATCAAAATGCAACAAATGGTTATTTCTTAAATGTGAGTTGCAAGACGGAACCTGAAATTGCATCACATTCTGATACATTAAAATCCATAGGCCTATCTTGCACTTTGATGGTTCTGTTATTTATGTATCATCCTGTAGTGCTACCTATTAGTCTTTTGAAAAATATTGGTTGACTGAGTGACAAGAGGTCTTCCTAACATGGAACCATTTCATTAAACAGCATCCAAAGAAAAGTCTCATTTGTTAACATGACCGCTGATCTCATCAGGAAAGGCTGCACGGGGATGCGGTCTGCCTCTTGGCAGCTTGTGGGGGTGCTCAACCTCTCAGTCACCCCCAGCGCTTTGCCATCCCATGGTCTATAGCCCGCCAGGCTCTTCTGTCCTTGGGATTTTCTACCAAATACTAATTTTTGCTTGAAAATTCAAATGGTATCATGGGCAACAAATACTACTCGTTCTTTTTCTGGAAGCAACTTCACTCAATTGTCTCATTTTGAAGGAAATGACTAAATGACTGCCAGATGCCCAAGTCTGAGGTAACATAATTTGGCTACCAGTCTTTCAGATTTAAAACAAATAAAAAATCCTATGAAGAAGTGAGTGGTTCAGTCTACAACCTCAACATCCCACCAGGGCTTTTGCTCAAGATAACCCCATCCTTCACTCAGACCCAGCAGAAACAGCTGATGTATACTTCCCGTGTCATCACACAAAACATTTTAAAAAATGTATTCCAAGGTTAATGTTTGAGAAAATCAATAATTTTTATGCTTCATCAAGGGCATTCTTAAACGAAACTGGCTCTTGTTTTTTAACTATAAGTGGGTGGTGGTGAATAATCCATGGGTACCCCTGCCTTCATGAGGATGAAGGCATCAAGTGTTTTCCTCACCTGTGCTCTCCACATGGTGAAAAAGGTTTTTGCCTTTCATCATGCCTGTGATAAAGTCTGAGCATTATGAAGGAAATTGGTTTGACTCTGTAGAGATCCTGAGAGAGTCCCAGGGAAACCCCTTTGAGAATCACTGGTATATCACTGCTGTAAGGCTGATGAATAGTCAAACTGATACAGACATGAAACTAGCAGCCAGGAAGCTTGCTATTTTTCATTCATTACATTGCACTGCAAAATGCCCCCTCGGATTCTCTGCCTGGGGGGTTTGAGGTGGAAAAAAAAAAAAAGACTCTCCCCACTCTGGCTGCGGGGGATCTTCAAGTGCATGCGGTACTCTGGGCTTTGGTAAAGGACCACCATTCCCACAAAAGACTGTGCTTGCCCTTGTTGCATTGTAGCCGTTTCCAAGCATAAGGTTTTATGAGTTGAAATCCTACAGATAAAGAATGCACATAGCCAGCAAAATGCCACCAACAGGAATAATGCCTCCAGATGACAAGGGTGTAAGTGCCGTGCGCAATGATTGGCTGGCAAAGCCCAGGGGCCAGCAATCTTGGTGGCCCAGGCACACTGCAGGGGTTCACCACCTGAGAAAACAGCCTCGTGCCTACGGTCCACCCAAGGAAAGCAGCATTTCGGCTGGCTTTTTTCTCTAGTTTTGCATACACCGGCTCCAGCAGGGCTCTACAAAGGATTTAGACTCCTGCCAGCTCCTCTCACCTGTCCCCTACGTTGTAATGAATTCAGAACGTCAATAAGGGCATTAACTTGCAGAGCGACAAAGCCCTCTGCTTGTTAATGCTCATCAAATAAGAGTCCAGCCTAGGAAACTCCAGGTGCCATCTAAGGGACTACTTGTGCGATCAGATTTTCTCAATGTGTACGAGGATGCTGTAACATTTATAGTGTGATTTGTAAACCATCGCATCTGAGCACACAAAAGAACTGACAAAGCATGAAAACTGGGTATTGGGCTATTTTTGCTATTCAATTAGAACATCAGGAAAAAAAAATGAGTGAAGGTTTAAGAGTACCTATGCAAATTTTAAAAAAAAGTCAATATATGAGAAATATAATACACCACGATGGCCGCCACGGACGGGCAGTGCCGATAGGAAGTTTGTCAGCTCTTTAATAAAACTGCCTTCCTGTTCTCCAATCCTGCAACTCCACCAACACTGCCCAAATCAAAACACGAAAGGAACACCTACCCACTGTCTTTGTGCCATTTCCTTCATCGACTCTGTGAAAGCGACAGCAAATCTAGGAAAGTGAACAAAAAGAATGATAACAATTAGGGCAGAATCTAATTAACATAACTGAGAAACAGCGCTCTGGAACAAATGGTGAGAGACAGGTGAGAAGCGGAATTTACAGCGCAATCAATCAATATTAGTCATGGTTGTTGGCTATTAGGTCTCATCTCCACTCATATCCAAAAAAAGAAGTTGTGTGGGCAGGAAATAAACAAATGAAGCTCAAAGCTTCCTATTTTTCTTGTTCCTTTATGGAAGGAGAGAGAAGCAGAGATAACTACAGAGAGCAAGATGGATGAGAGAAGCAAGGAACTTCTTAATATTCAGGGGCAGGATATGTGGTTCACTGGCTTTGTTAAAGGAAGACTAGGCTGAAGTGCTCAAGATTTATTGAATGTTCACGGACAAAGAATGTGAATGTCCCCACTCATTGAGAGTTACGTGTTTCCAGAAGCAGGACTGGGTCCCCACAGAATGAACCAGGTATGGAGCCAGAAAGTAAGAAAGAGTTCAAAATATAGAGAGGGCTTGTGGAAAGGATGCAGAAGTCAACTCAAAACATCTCCGATGGCCATGGCTGGGGTGATTTGGACACCAAAAAATGTAATAGGAGCTACAGAGTCAAATATTGAGTTGGCCAAAAGTTCATTCTGTAAGAATGAAGCAAACCAGAAAGGAAAACACCAATACAGTATATTAATGCATATATATGGAATTTAGAAAGGGGGTAATGATAACCCTATACATGAGACAGCAAAAGAGACACAGATGTATAGAACAGTCTTTTGGACTCTGTGGGAGGGGGTGAGGATGGGATGAGTTGGGAGAATGGCATTGAAACATGTATATTTTCATACGTGAAATGGATCGCCAGTCCAGGTTCAATGCATGAGACAGGGTGCTCGGGGCTGGTGCACTGGGATGACCCAGAGGGATGGGATGGGGAGGGAGGTGGGAGGGGGGATCGGGATGGGGAACACATGTACACCCATGGCTGATTCATGTCAATGTATGGCAAAACCACTACAATCTTATAAAGTAATTAGCCTCCAATTAAAATAAATAAATTTATTAAAAAAATTTATTCTCTAAGATGGCACAAAAAAACCCAAATGAACTTTTTGGCCAACCCAATAAAATAAAATAAATAGCCATGAGTCCACGTTGATGTAACTGCATAAATAATTGAACAAGTAACTAGGGTCAAACAGCCAACTCTTCCTTGTAGTAGAATTCCAATTAACCAATGTAGGGGTGGTAGAAATAGAAAATCATTATTATACAAGATAGCGCAGTAAAAAATGTTGCAGCAAAGAGCCATTAATAGGGAATTCCCGGGCAGTTGAGTGGTTAGGACTTGGTGCTTCTGTGATCAGGACCCAGATACAATTCCCAAATGGAAAACTAAAATCCTGCAAGCTGCACACACAGCATAGTCAACAAAAGGAGTCATTATTATGTGATTCTTCCCCTGTGGCATGACCCAGAAAGGGGAGCTTGTATTCCCTTATCTGTGTCTTCTCCAAGCCTTCCCTTCTCCCCTCCCACTTTTACAACCAGCAACCGATCCCAGACACAGCCAATCGCATGCCCCTTACTTAAGTGAGAAATACGGAATCCTTCCCATTGTGTAAGGTTAAACATGAGCAACGAGGACCAGACCACAATAAACCTTGCATCTGAGTCCAGTAGGCATTGGAGAATCCAGGGAGATGCTCTCTATGCCCCCTGCAAACATTGACGAAAAGACAAACTCAACTGTATTCTAAGGCCATCAACTTTTTTCCAAAAAATGAGGATAAAGAGGAGAGACAAGCAGCTAAACAGCACTTACAAGGAGTGTAGAAACCTTCATTGGCGGAAAAACTGCAAAAATGAGAAACTTAAGAACCACACAAAGAACATCTTGCCTGCCACACTTCCGGGTCCCTAGTTCATTTCACATCTGCTATTATTATTTTCCACTAGTAGTCACACAACTACCAGAACGTCTGCAAGACGTTAGGGCACCCCACATGGCCAGTGACAGCCTCACACTGTCAAAAAAGAAAAGATCCCAAGAAACGAGAAGAGCCATTGAACAGAGAACGAGGTCAGTGACGCTAAGACTGTGCATTGTACCCCATAACAGCATTGATGAATACATGCACAAGTGCAGTCCTCAGGCTTTTGTGGAAAGGGAAATCCACTCATTTGGCAAGCCTGACGCTCTCCCTTCCTGTGAGAATGTCAGCTCCACATGTGCTGGAACACTGCTCTGCTCACATCCACCGCTCTAGCCCCTTGGAGCGTCTGGCACCCAGAAGGCAAAAATATCTGCTGGCTGAGTGAGTGATTAAGCAAGAGAAGGAACAGTGTTGCCCTAAATTCCAACAGGAAACAGGTGAGGGTGAGAAAAGAATGCAGAGAGGGAGAAAAGAAACGAAAAATGTCCCAGGTGTGCAGAGCAGACTCTGTGCATCACAGCCCAGAGGCTGACGGTGACTGTTCCTACCTATGTAATGGTCCCCACCACCACATCCTGCTCATTCAACACCCAGGATGAGGAATCAGTAGAAGCTACAGCATATTTAAGACAACAGGGAAGGATGAGATTCTTGGGAGGGTTTTCATCAAAGGTGCACGGGAAAATGTTCCAGGAGTCAGGAGGATCAACAGGAATTAACTTGCCTGACATGTCATTTATTTCAGAGCTGCAGATAACAGTCTTTATTGTGGCCCCTTATTTAGAAACAGTAGCCCTGGCTTTACACTCACCTAACAAATAAACTTTTAAAAGAGTTCCTAGCCCAAAGATCCTCAGAAGAAAAAGACATTTAAAATCACATGTGCTAAGTCACTTCAGTCATGTCTGACTCTGTGCAACTCTATGAACTGTAGCCTACAAGGCTCCCCTAGCCATAGGATTCTCCAGGCAAGAATACTGGAGTGGGTTATTTCCTCATTTCGACTATTTACAACAGGCAAGACATGGAGACAACCTAAATATCCACCAACAGATGAATGGATAATGAAAATGTGGTACATACATACATTGGAATATTACTTGGCCACAAAAAAGAATGAAATAGCGTCATCTGCAACAACATGGATAGGTCTGGAGATTATCATACTAAGTGAAGACAGTCGGACAGAGAAAGGCAAATATGTAATGTCACTTTTATGTGGAATCTAAAATTTGACAGAAATGAACTTACCTATGAAACAGAAACAGACTCAGGGACATAGAGAAGGGACTTGTGGTTGCCAAGGGGAAGGGATGGATGGGGAGGTTGGGGCTGGCAGATACAAACTATCATATATAAAATGGATAGACAATAAGGTCCTCCTGTATGGCACAGGGAGCTATATTCAGTATCCTGTGATAATCTATGACAGAAAAGAATATTAAAAAGGATGTACATGTGTATAACTCAATCACTTTGCTTTACAGCAGAAATTAACACAACATTGGAAATCAACTATACTTGAGTAAAAAATAAATACTATCTGAGGTAACCATAAACAGAAACACATATCTTAGGAAAAATATAAAAACTACCACTTTTGCACTTTTGCTTGAATACTGCCATTTCAAAACATATTTACATTGACAAACAATTCTGCTTGTCAAAAACATCTTCAGGAACACTAAGTAGCTCAAAAGCCATATGAAATTACTGGCATTCAACCATTTTTGACCTACAAACCAGTAATTTCATGTGGTTTAACCTACTAATGTGCTATAGATTTCATAATCGTGGAAGTTTTTATGAGGCAATTCATTCCATACAAACTACTGCATTTGCTTGCAAGGTTGAGTTTTTCTAATAGGCACCTGGATGAGCCTTCACTAAGCAATTTTCACAAGTTTCAAATACTCCTTATTTAATTTTGGTATTTATAACTACCAAATACTTATTACAGTGTTCAGAAGCCAAAAAAGTGGGTGCTAAAATAAGTTTGCATACTGTACCATACAGGAAAAAGAGTTTTAAATACTAAAAAAGTTGAAGGAATTTCCTGGTGGTCCAGTGGTTAGGACTCCAAGCTTCCACTGCAGAGGGTACAGGTTTGATCCCTGGTCTAGCAATTAAGATCTTGTTTGGTGCAAGGCAAGGCCAATCAATAAATAAAATTTAAAAGTTGAAAAGTATACCTTATAGAAAAAATATAAGTATTCACATAAACACCTGTCATAAAGCTAGACAAGTTCAATACTTTGTTCTATAGAAAACTGTGCTGTATTGTGTCAGACAAAATATCTATTATTCATGCAACTTCCCTGCCCACTAACTTCAATCAATAGCTCCCAAATAAAAATCAATGTGTGTGTTTAGTAATAACACAATGAATAACGCTAATGATAATATCATAAGATGATTCATTCCATACTGTTTCTCCCAAGAAGAATGATTTTCCTTCTCAAAGACAATGCATTACAGACTGAAGGAATCTAAAGACATTAAAATTTTAGGGTGTAAAAACAACAACAACAAGAAAACTTACAGTGATACATCACCTTTCAAGGCGAGCTAGCACCGTTTTCATGCCTTTATTTATTGTAAAACACACACACACACACACACACACACACACAGAGGGTACTCCTTATGTTAAAAAGGTTGCATTGCCACATTTGTTTCCAGGAAGTCTTCAGGAAGAAGTAGGGTCCTGCAACACAACTACATCCAACTGTGACCCTAGTTTTAAGGAGCAAGACTGACACGTATCTTAACCAAAAGACACTGGGGGTGCCAAGTTTCAACAGTACATGAACCATGAACTTCCAGATGTTCAAGTTCATTCTAGAAAAGGCAGAGGAAACAGAGATCAAGTTGCCACCATCCGTTGGATCATCAAAAAAGCAAGAGAGTTCCAGAAAAACATCTATTTTTGCGTTACTGACTATGCCAAAGCCTTTGACTATGTGGATCACAACAAATTGTGGAAAACTCTTAAAGAGATGGGGATATCAGACAACCTGACCTGCCTCCTGAGAAATCTGTATGCAGGTCAAGAAGCAACAGTNTGATGTTGAAGCTGAAACTCCAATAATTTGGCCACCTGATGCGAAGAACTGACTCATTGGAAAAGACACTGATGCTGGGAAAGATTGAAGGCGGGAGGAGAAGGGGACAACAGAGGATGAGATGGTTGAATGGCATCACTGACTCAATGGACATGAGTTTGAGCAAGCTCTGGAAGTTGGTGATGTACAGGGAAGCCTGGTGTGCGGCAGTCCATGGGGTCGCAAAGAGTCGGACACGATTGAGCAAATGAACTGAACTGAACTGAACTATGCTATACAATAGAACTTGGAGTTCTGTCCTTGGTATGGATCAGAAATGGGCCAATTTTTTTTTGAAGAGGCCAGGATTCCCTAACCACAGTTCCTTAGCCACAGAAGGGTTACAGATGAGCCACAAAAAATCCAAGGCTGGCCACATACTGGGGACATGGAAACAGCCTAAATACACATCAATAGACAAGTGGATAAATAAAATGTAGCATGGGACTTCCCTGGTAGTCCAGGGAAGAATCCACCTGCCAATGCAGGGGACAGGGGTTGGATCCCTGGTGGGGCAAGATCCCACATGCCACAGAGCAACAAAGCCCATGCGCTCCAGCCACTGAGTCCACACACTGTCACAGAAAGTAGCTTCCGCTCGCCCCAACTAGAGAAAGCCTGTGTGTAGCAAGGAAGACCCAGAGCAGCCAAAAATAAATAAATAATTTTTTTTAAAAAAGAAAAGAAAACGCGGCATGCACATACAGTAGAATACCATTCGGCCTCTAAGAAGGAGGACATCCAGCCGTCTGCAAAAACATGGATGAAACTGAGGCATACTTATGCTCAGAGAAACAAGCCGACGATGGACAAATGGGGGGGCAGGGTGACTCCACCAATATGTGCAATCTAAAATAAGCAAACTCATGGAAGCATGAGTAAGATGAAAGAAGGTAAGGGAGGGAGAAACAGGAAGCTATTAGTCAAAGGGCACAAAGTTTCAGGAACTTCCCTGGTGGGCCAGTGGTTAGGACTCCATGCTCCCCACTGCAAGGGGCACTGGTTCCATCTCTGGTTGGGGAACTAAGATAATAAATCTTAAGCATTTAAGTAAATCTCACCACAAGGGGAAAAAAAATCTCTTTTCTATTTAATTAAATTTGTAGCTATATGAGATGATGGATGTTCACTAAATTTGCTGTGATAATCATTTCAAATCAAATCATTATGCCATTCACCCCTGAAGGCTCAGTCAGTAAAGAAGTTGCCTGCAATGCAGGAAAGCTGGGTTCAGTTCCTGGGTTAGGAAGATCCTTGGGAGAAGAAAATGACAACCCATTCTAGTATTCTTGCCTGGGAAATCCCATGGACAGAAGAGCCTGGCAGGTTAAGGTCCACAGGCTGCAAGAGTCAGACAGGACTTAGCAAGAAACTACCACCTTAAACTGATACAGTTCTGCATGTCAATTATATCTCAATAAAACTGTAAAAATGAAAACATTTTACTTGGGCATTTGCATTCTACCCGATGCAAAGTTGACCCTAAATTGTGTGCTAATAAACCTTGAGTTTACCCTTATTCACTCTTAGCAATAATTCTCTCTCTTCCACCGCAACAAACATTCTAAGAACATTCATCCAATATTAACTCAAGTCAAATAATTGTTCAAGACCAGTAACTTGTTTACAATGACTATTCCTGGTAAAATGAACATGTGCTGACTGAATGAAAAAATGAAAGTAAGAAAGAAATTGGTTTTTTAGGGTAAGATATAAACCTCCCAAACTACTGGTTTACTCCATCATTTTGTGTTAATGAATTTTATCCAAAAGGGTTAAACGCTTAACTCCTGTGAAATTCTCTTAAGTATTACCTGGCTTCTTCAAGGACTTTTCCCATCACTTTGTTTTTATCTCCCTGGTTAACATCTTCATTTAAATCAGTTCCACCAAAGATGATTCCAAAAGGAATTCCATTACCTGCAAAATTAGGACATTTAACAAAGCACAGTTTATCTTTAAAACACCCTCTCAGTAATTATCCCCAAGCATTGATAGAAAAAACCAAAGTTCCCAAAATATATGGACTATGTCATGTTGTTTGTTCAATTACATCTAACTCTCCTGAATAGGATAGCTATCACCATTGTGAACATGACATGGGGTTAATCATGTGAGACAAGGCCATTTTAAATCAATATGCTTTAAATTTTAACATATGAAAAATGTTGTTAGCCTCCATCTATCAAAGTCAAGTATAATCATAATTCAAAAAGACACATGTACCCCAATGCTCACTGCAGCACTATTTACAATATTTAGGACATGGAAGCAACCTACGTATCCATTGACAGATGAATTGATAAAGAAGTTGTGATATCACTGAGGAAAACAGAATTGAAAGAGACACATATACCCCAATGTTCATCACAGCACTGTTTACAATAGTATAATGGAATATTACTCAGCCACGAAAGTAATGAAACTGAGTCAACTGTAGTGATGTGGATGAACTCAGAGTCTGTCATACAGAGTGAAGTCAGTCAGAAAAAGAAAAACAAATATTGTCTGTTAATGCATGAGGTTTCCCTGGTGACTCAGTGGTAAAGAATCTGCCTGCTAATGCAGGAGATGAAGGTTTGATCCCTGGATTGGAAAGAACCCCTGGAGGAGGAAATGGTAATCCATTCCAGTATTATTGCTTGGGAAATCCCATGTACAAGAGGAGTTTGATGGGCTACAATCCATGGGGGTCACAAAAGAGTCGGACATGACTTAGTGACTAAACAACAGCAATATTAACACAAATGTTTGGAAGCTAGAAGTATGGAACTGATCAATCTATTTGCTAGGCAAGAAGAGTGACACAGATGTAGAGAATGAACACGTGGACATAGCCAGGACGGGGAGGGTGGGATGAACTGATAGAGCAGCACTGACATATGTATACTACCAGGTGTAAAATAGACAGCTAGTGGGACTCTGCTGAAGAGTGCAGGGAACTCAGCCTGCTGCTCTGTGATGGCCTAGAGGGGTGGGATGGGGGAGGCGGGAGTGAGGCTCAGCAGGGGGAGGATATATGTATACATATATCAAACAGGTAATTCACATTGTTGTGCAGCGGAAACTAACACCACAGTGTAAACCAATTGTCCTCCAATTAAAAATAAAAATTAAAATAAACAAAGAAAGCCAAGTGTACCATCCCCGGGAAATGGGTTAATCTGGAACTGCTGGTGTTTACGATGGAAAAAGAAGGCTTCAAATGAAGACCAGCTGTTCATATCAGCCACCATGACGGCGAGGAAAGGAGGGAAAGGAAAGAGACATAGACTGTATCTTCCAGGAACACGCAGTATGATAAATCACGGAGGGCACAAATGTATGGGAACCAAAAATATCTGAGATGCCGTGAATGTCAAGTGCAAAAAGATTCCACCCCTCCCCCCAGGAGCATATTTATTCTGACTGATGAGCCCTAAACTGATGGAAGGCACATTTCCTGCCTTGGTAATCTCAAAAGGCATGGAGCATGCACAGATCAAGTTAAACAATGTGCTCATCAAATAGGGCTTCCCAGAAGGACTTCCAAAGGTCAGTAAAAATTTCAAAAGAGCAAAAGCAAACCACTAACCAGACCAGATCTAATTTGAGTTCATACTGGGGTTTCTCAAACAAACCATTGCTACAGAGATTCAACATTGCAGCAAAAAGGTAGTGATCTTTCCTTGTATTTACCTTAGAAGTCTTTTGTCATGAAAAGGAGCAGATTTTATCTTTTTTCTTTCTGGTGAAGTGCCTCTCACTTCACAGCCTTTAGATACTAAGCACTCTAACAACACACAGGAGGTATAGAAAAGCGGTAAGTAAAAAATTCAAATGAAAACTTTAAAAAGGAATTTAAGTTAAAAAAAATCAAGAGCATTTTGATGAACACAATGTGTGTAGTAAAATGATCAACATACATTTCTCTGTACAAAGAATATCTTTGAAAAGATAAACAGAAAAACCTAGACACCAATGCCTCTATGGAAAGAATCCAGGGCACTTCCCTGGTGGTCCAGTGATTAGGACTCAGGCTTTCACTGCCAGGGGCATGGGTTCGATCCCTAGTCAGGGAACTAATATCCCACAAACTGCTCAGTGTGGAAGAAAAAAAAGGAACCCAGAAGATCACAGATCTGGGATGGTAAAGAAACTTACTTTTTCTCTCTATAACATTTTATATTGCTTGCCTTTCTTACTATTGACAGGTGTGACCTTTTCCAAAAATACATACAGCCAGACATGGAAAAGCACACCAAGTACAGATGATTTACCTTCTGCCAGGGAATTAGACTTTGGGGGATGTTCAGGTTTTAGCACATGGGATGGGCATGAACCTTTGGGAACCAGAGAAAGGTCTGTGGCAGTTAAAATAATGGCCCCGAAAAATGTCCACCCATAATTCCCAGAATCTGTGAATACATTACACAGGAAGGAGAAATCAAGGTTTTGACAAATCTTTCTCTTTGTTTCTTGTTGAGAATAGGCTTTAGGCTTGAATCTAGCAAGGAGCAGATATCAGGTGGCTTTAAGAAGCCAAATTCAGGAAACTGTGAGTTTTTTTTTTTTTTTAAGCAGACGATTGGGAGTGACAAATGGTCAGCATAAGCACTGATTTGGAAAGATCGCTAAGTTGTGTGCTTAAATATACCATTTGTATGTGTGCGTGCTCAGTCATGTTTGGCTCTTTGCAACCCCACGGACTGTAGCCTGCCAGGCTCTGCTGTTCATGGGATCTCCCAGGCAAGAATGCTGGAGTGGGTTGCCATTTCCTTCTCCAGGGCATCTTCCTGGACCAGGGATTGAACCTTTGTCTCCTGCATCTCCTGCTTTGGCAGGCAGATTCTTTACCACTGCACCATTAAGTGATACCTATATGGGAAAAGAGGGTCCAACTTCCTATGGTGCAGGAGTGGGAGAAAGAGCTAGAATATTAATAAGGCTTGATATAGTGCAGGGAAACAGGAAGTCAACTTTAGCAATGAAATGTCTGAATATTTCAGGAGTTGATAGATTTTGCTGAGTGAAGTGTCATCCCGTATGATGATTACTATAGATAATGTGGGGCCTCAAGTGACATGCTATCTCCTGAAAAGCTGCCACTGCCGAGTCATTTAATTCATGTTTGGAGAAAGCCACTTGTGGCTCAACAACAACATTATCTGTCCTGCCTCCACTCGTTACCCACTGGGCTTTCAGTGAGGTCAAACTGACCTTGGAAGGGAAAAGGAGATATATCCAAAAATTGTAGATAAAGCCAAGAGAACGACTGCCTGCACATCCTTTCAAGGTCCAAGAAAGCAATGTTTAAAGGTTCCCTGTGGATTCGTTTTCTAAGACTGTTGTGTGACTTCAGTATTTACTATTAATTAAAAGTACTTACTCTGTGAAGTAGTAATCAGGAATAGACTGAGATAGTTACTTAGGCAGTTGTAGAGTTCCCAGTAGGGAATTACAGAGAGAGAGGGACACCTAGGGAACTTTGGGAGACCACTGTAAGTTAATAAGCACTCAAGAAAGATATCAGGATTATTTTTCTAGATTCCACATATATGCCTTAATACACAATATTTGTTTTTCTCTTTCTGACTTACTTCACTTTGTATGACAGACTCTAGATCCATCCACATCACTACAAATGACTCAATTTCATTCCTTTTTATGACCTAGTAATATTCCATTGAATATATATGTACCACAACTTTATCCTTCATCTGTCGTCGGACATCAGGTTGTCTCCTTGTCGGGGCTATCTTAAATAGAGCTGCCGTGAACACTGGGGTACGCGGCCTTTTGAATGATGGTTTTCTCAGAGTATATGCCCAGTAATGGGATGGCTGGGTCATATAATAGTGCTATTTTTAGTTTTTTTAGGAGCCTCCATACTACTCTCCACAGTGGCTGTATCAATTTACATATGTGGAATCTAGAAAAACGGTAGAGATGAACCTATTTCCAGGGCAGGAATAGAGACGCAGACATAGAGAACGGACATGTGGACTGGGGTGGGGTAACGGGGGTCGAGGGGACTAGTTGGGTGAATAGCAATGACATATATACACTACCATGTGTAAACTGATAGCCAGTGGGAGGCTGCTGCATAGACAGGGAGCTCAGCCCCAAAGCTTAGAGTTGATTGCCCTGCTAGACGTTAACCAGTTCTACAGCCAAGCCCATTCTAATATCCTTTTTTAAAATTTTATTATTTATTTATTTCTGGCTGCTCTGGGTCTTCATTGCCGAGTGCAGCCTTTCTCTAGCTGCCACAAGCGGGGGCCTACTGCTTGTTGGGGTGCACAGGCTTCTCAGAGCAGTGGCTTCTCCTGCTGTGACTCATGGGCTCCAGGGTGCACTGGCTTCAGTAATTGCAGAACACGAGCACAGTAGTTGTGGGACACAGGCTTAGTTGCCCCAGGGTGTGTGCAATCTTCCCATACCAGGGATTGAACCTGTGTCCCCTGCATGGACAGGCAGATTCTTAATGACTGGACTAGGGAAGTCCTCATCCTAATATTCTCTACGAAATTGCCCACTCAAGTCTCAGTTCCCCAAATGCTCTTTCAACTGGCTTTAGCATCTTAGTAGTTCCCTCATTGCTAAAACAATTGAATAAACTCTCTCCTATGTGCTCACTTCTACATTTTGTGAAAGAGTCCCATTTTTAACTTTTGAACATTAGGTTTTGAGTGAAGAAAAACACATCAAGAACATTCACGATAAGCCTCTTAATGTTGTAAAAACAGCTTCGATATACATCCAATCTCAACTGGTGCAGTTACATCATTTTAGAAAAGCACTCTGTTAAGAACAAACTGAAAAGATGACTGTGTTCCTTCCATTTTGGAGCCGGATAAATGGGATAAACTGTTTCATCTATGTTCCAAGTTGAAATTATAGGCACTCCTGGTTTTCCTGACTGCTAGCGTTTCACCTCTGAAGAGAGGGGGTTACCTCGCAAAAGTCTGCCTCCTCTGTACAGATGCAGAGCCACTGCCGCCTCCAGGTTCTCTGCCTTGATGAAGTTTGAGATTTCAGATGGATTTTCAAAGTCAAAGGCATCTTTCAGAATACACACATGACCTGCAGCTTCTAGATGGTCCCTTTATCAAAAAATAAACAGAGAAAAAAGATAGGAAAACAAAAAATTAAAATGGAACAGGTTGCTGCTGTGGTCAAAACTTTAAATCAATCAAAAGATTCATTAAATCAAAAGTTAATGATACATATCTTCTGAACTGTCCTCTAGAAGCAATCCACCTAAAATACATTCGTCTATCAGCCTCAAATATCAGAACTGAGATTGGGACCAGGGCTGGGACCAAGGGTAGCAGAAAAGAAAGAGTAAATGTTAGTCGCTTCAGTCGTGTCTGACTCTTTGTGACCCCATGGACTGTAGCCCACCAGTCTCCTCTGTCCATGGATTCTCCAGGCAAGAATACTAGAGTGGGTTGCCATTCCATTCTCCAGGGGATCTTCCCAGTCGGGATCAAACCCAGGTCTCCTGCATTGCAGACAGATTCTTTATTATCTGCACCACCAGGGAAGTTCCATCAACCCAAATAGAGATCAGTATAAAATTACAGTCCATAGCCCTCAAAATACAATTGAGCTTTTAAATACATGAAATGGTGATCAACTTTATAATGTGACCATCTTTTCAATGTAGACTATTTGGAAAGTCTGCCATAGGCTTCAAGAAATAAACACACTAGACTGGGGAAGCAGGCACAAGCTCTTCTGTGGGCAAAGCAGCAACCACTAGCAGATTTAGAATGCACAAACTCTGTGATCAAATAACATCCCTTCTCAGAACTGATTCTAAAAGCACACTCAGGTATCAGCGCAAAACAGGCATCCAAGAGTGAGCACCGAGGAAGCAAAAAAACTTAAACCGACCTCCGTGTGCAACAGTAGGGGACCAGTCATATTACAGTGCAGATGAGGCAATCAAGCCCTGATGCTGTGAAAAAAATGCAGATCACTGTGAAGTTATTTATAATGAACTCAATACACACTGTTAATGAAAAGAGAGCAAAGTGAAGAACCAACCCTGTGTATATAGAGCATGTGTGTATAGAATATCTGTAGAAAGATACAGAAGAAATAGATAACAATGATTCTGTCTAAAGAGAACCAGGGACCAGAGCTGGGGAGAGACTATCTTCTCATCACGCACCCTTTTGCATGGCTAGATACTTTGACCAGGTGCTATATTATTAAAAATAATATAGTAAGTCCCTAACATACATATGAGTTCCATTCAGAGAGCTCATTCACAAGTCCAGTTTATTGGTATGTTCAACAAAGTTAGCCTAAGTACCCAGCTAACACTATCAGCTATATATTACTGTACTGTAATAAGTTTATAACACTTTTCACACAAATAATACATAAAAAGGAAAGAAACACAAAAAAATAAAGAAAACATTTTTGACTCTACAGTACAGAACCTTGAAAAATACAACAGTAACAGCTACATGACCGCTGCTTTTGAGCTTGCTTCCAGATATCCTGGGCTTGAAATAAAGATACTGCACCACTGTCCCCTATCCAGTGCTGCATAGTAAAGTACGCAAAAGCACAACCAACTTGTAGACAACGCACACACGTGACAGTGTACGCCCGACACAGGACTGACTTCTATGGTTAGACATGTGAATGCACATTCTGCATTTTTAAAAATCTGCGATGTTCATAAGTGGAACTTATTGTAATTTCTTGAGGTGTATGTGTGTGAGCATGTGAATGCACAACCAATCCAACTTGGCCTCTCCCTTGCTTAAAACCCTCAAATGGCTAAGAGTAGACAGCCCAATTGTCAACTCTGCGAGAATGGGGCATGGATCTGTCTTGCTTGCCTAATATAAGCAGTGATTGCTAGATGTGTCTCTGGGATCAAGTCCAAGTGCCCTAGCCTAGCACACAGCGCCCTTCATATCCCTCTTCCCCTGCAAGGCCAAGCGCATCCCACTCTTGCCACCCTTAGCGCCAGTCCTGCCTTCCATCTGGAGGATGTCCAATGCATCATGCCTTCTGAGCCCCCTGACATGGCCCCAACATTCCCCAACAATGGCTCCCTTCAGTGAAATTTGACAGCCTCTGTTCCTGATGCAGCTGTCTCCTCACTATTTCCATTGTGCTCCAAGCCCATCGCTACTACCATCCCTCTGCGCTGCAGTCATATGAGCAAGGCAGTCACATCATACTTAGAGTTCCTATTACAGAAGAGAAAACCATCAAGGACCTACTGTTGGTAGGGGACAGTTGCACAGGGGACTCTGTGCTCAATATCTTGTAATAATCTATAAGGGGAAATAATCTGAAAAAAGAAAATACAGCTGTGACTGAATCACTTTGCTGTATACCTGAAATGAACACAACACTGTAAATCAACTATACTCCAAAAACAAAATCAGAAAAGAACAAACAGAAAAACACAAAATCAGCACATCGGTGGCAACCAAGGACACTTAAAATTACTCTTGAAAAGTTGTTAAATCATCCAGAAGGTACTGGAGTACAAAGTTCAAACCCAACATAGCCATTTCCCTCCTAATTCCAACGATAATAAAGATGGTTATTATTCAGCTAAACATGAGAGGAGTTAGCTGGGTGGCACTTAGGGGCAATATTGTATCAAATAATAAGAGTAAACATCGAAGAATAAGGATCTAGAACATTCAATCCAAATGATCATAAATGATCACTTCCTTACACAGTGGGAGCCTCAGGGGAACTCAGGTCTTCAGAAGGTACATCAAATCTTCCAGCCCGCCTCCACTCTGGGAAATATGGTGAGAATGATCACCAATACTACTACATGAATGATTAATTTTTTTTTTTTCTCTCTCTCTCTCTCTCTGTTTTCTCTTTTGTGCTGTAAATTAAATGCACAAGGCTGCAGCTATCACCTTGCCAAGAAAGAAAAACTAAGGTCTGGAGACTTGAGCTCTGCTCTTACAACTTATTGAGTATCTTTATCTTATCATTGCCACTGTTAATGCTGATTGACCTCTGTCACCGCCCCCCCTCTCCACACCACCTAACCCCCCCAACTCCTTTGGAAATGCTGATCACAACTGTTAAGCAGAACCGGGAAAGAAGCCTGCAGGCTGTCTAGTTATCTGCTCACTTCAGCCTAAAAATACACATCATGCAAAAATAAGGACACAACGAACTTCAGAGCATAATTGTGAAATGACTGTTATTCCATCTTTAAAACTCTAAAATGAGAAGCCAAAACCAAAGGTGTTGGGAAATGGAAAGGAAACAGTTTGAATTCTACTTAGGAAATTTATACCTGAGAGATTTCTGGCTGTTGCAGGATCTATTGGGCAGGGCACATTGGATTGGGTGACTGAGTACAGACAATGCCTTGTTTTTCGTCTATTAAACACATTTTCAAATGGCATTTCAACACTAGCTTTATGATCTCATAAATATTTCAAAATAGTCTTTTTTTTAATCTTAATTCTCTATGGACCAAGACTTGAGACTTGTTTCCTGCTGATTTGTATCAGGTTGGCCAAAAAGTTCTTTCTGGTTTTTCCATAAGATCTTAAGGAAATAACACCTTTAAATTGCTTTGTCCTTGTTCCTTCTGAAACCAGGCAGGACCCTGTGGGGCTCCGGGGCACAGGAGCCTTTCTGTTCAGCCTCCATGACCTCCACTGAGTTCCAAAAGGCAGGTTCAAACAGTTGCTAATCAGAGAAGGAAGGGGATACAGAGACAGGAGAGGAACAGCCAAGAAGCAATAGTGCAGCCTTGGGGCAGGGTCCTGGTTTAAGATTACCCAAGTGCATGCCATGCACACATCCTAGGCCTATCAGCAACACCACCCTTGGACCACTGCTATAAAAATCCTCACCAAATTCTTCAGGGTTGGGACACACAGTTTCAAGGGCTCCCCTTTGCCTGGGAAAGCAATAAAGCTATTCTTTTCTACTTCACCCAAAACTCTGTCTCCGAGATTTGATTTGTTAGGGGAACCGCTGACTGAAACCACTTGCCCTGGCCAGGTACCATAGGAACCACTTGCATGAGTTGTGTTAAACAGGAGGTCCTTGAAAGGAATGTAGAACTAACAAGTTAGCATCAACCAGAAGAATTCAGGAAAGGTCAAAAGAAAAGAGGAGACGCCAGTACATAGATCCTACCAACCTCCCAGAATCCTTCTCACTGGAATCTATCTTGGCTGAGTCATGCAACCGCCAACAGGAAGGACCCTGAGTCAGAATTATCAGCCAGAGACAACCTGGAAACTAACCTCATTACCATAAAACCTGAGACAGCAAATCACGTGGCAGAGCAGTTCTCCTGGGTTCTCTTACCCTGCTGCTCTCCATCCAAGTCCCCTTCCCAATAGTCTCTTGATTTGTCAGCACATGTATTTCATCCAACAATTCATTGTTGAGTATTAGACAAGAGCCCACTCTCAGGCCTTGGAAGGGGTCCCCCTTCCTGCAACAGATTTGGCACCAGTGCACAGAGGGTGATCTTTCAGCATCACTGGGCTTCCCCGGGAGTCCAGCAGGTAAAGAATCTGCCTGCAATGCAGGAGACCCTGGTTTAATTCCTGGGTCAGGAAGATCCACTGGAGAAGGGATAGGCCACCCACTCCAGTATTTTTGGGCTTCCCTGGTGGTTCAGCTGGTAAAGAATCCACCTGCAATGAGGGAGACCTGAGTTTGATCCCTGGGTTGGGAAGATCCCCTGGAGAAGGAAACAGCTACCCACTCCAGTATTCTGGCCTGGAGAATTCCATGGACTGCATAGTCCATGGGGTCACAAAGAGTCGGGCATGACTGAGTGACTTTCACTTTTCACTTTCCATGAGTGATAACTTGATTCAACTAATAAATTCCCTGAGCACCTGTTACATCCCAGGAACTCTGGCTTATTTGGCTTAACAACAGCTTTTTTTTTTTTAAGAACAAAAGCATCTCCAATAAATTAAGAGACTTTGAGCATGTTCCAGAAATTGACTGAACCTCCTTGTACACCCCTGACTCAAGATCCAAAGATTCAGTAGAACTCTACTTGCTTCCACCTGACTGAAAGCCATCCTATTTAACTGAGTGCACAAACAGAGCTTAATCACTTGTATGTTTAACCTATATGGATTTTGATAAACTACGATGTCTCCATTAAAAAAATAGCAAAAAAAACTAATACAGGGCAGGCAACATGGACTGCATTCCATTCCATAGCCATGAGCCCCTGCATGATTCTAAGACAGGAAACAGGAATCTAATATTCCTTAAGCCACCTCAGCTTGTGGGCCTCTAAGTGTGAGCATGGGCTGGGCCCATTGATTCTCATAGAACATTGCACCTAATGCCAACCTGGTGTTGACATTAATGTCCCGTGATGTCAACCTGGCTCAACTATGGTTCACCTGGGGGGAAAGAATGTCGTGCCACTGGTGGGGCGAAGTCACCTGTGTTGAAGTGTAAGATGTCACACTCTGATAATATTTCAAGAAGTTCTGAGACATGGGACTTCCCAGGAGGTCCAGTGGTTGACAGTCTACCTGCCAACGCAGAGGACATGGGTTCAATTCCTGGTCCGGGAAGATCCCATATGCCTTGGGGCAACTAAGCCTGTGTGCCACAACTACTGAGCCCACGAGCCACGACTACTGAGCCTGCACCCTAGACCCCTAGCTCTGCAACAAGAGAGGCCACCACAATGAGAAGCCCGTGCACCACCATGAAGAATAGCCCCTGCTCACCGCAACTAGAGAAAGCCCATGTGCGCAACAAAGACCCCGTGCAGCCAAAAATAATTAAGTAAATAAAAGCTTTTTTAAGAAAGGAAGTTCTGATAAGTTACGAGAAACCATGTTGGTCTTGAAACCATTATGAGGCTCAGCAAGATGAAGACCTGTCAAGGCAATGCCCATATGAACCCGTGAGCCCTAGCTCAGGAAAGTAAACTGGAGAGAACACTGCCCACCCCCTTGCCTCTCCATAAATGCAGTGAGATAATAACAGCACACTTGTGGGATATGGTGTTACCTTGCATATTATCTCCTTGGGTGAGTTCTGCAAACTGTAAAGTGAGTCTACTTTTTAATGTGATTCTAGTGGAGTCTTGTACTCGAGAGATTACTGGTAGGAAGTCACTCTTTTTAAAAGAATGCAAACATACAGTCACAAAACAGGTAAAGCATCTAGATCAGGTCTCCTGAACCCAAAGGACTGCGGAGCTCAGACTAATGAAGTAAATGAACTTGGGGAGAAGGGGAGACACCAAGAAATGAGGGGTCCTACACCAAATGGAAGAGACAGGTCCCATCTTCAGGGTGAGTCCTACATTGTCTAATAACAAAGCCAACTGAGCACTGGAAATGTGGCAAATTGAAAAAAGATGTGCTGAGTGTAAAATATACTTATAGGAACTTCCCTGATGGTCCAGTGGCTAAGACTCCATTCTCCCAATACAAAGGGCCTGAGTTCTATTCCTGGTCCAAGAAGTAGATCCCACATGCCGCAACTAAAGCTCCCACATTAATAAAAAAAAAAGATGTGCTCAGTGCAAAATATACATACAGGAACTTCCCTGGTGGTCCAGTGGCTAAGACTCTGCACTCCCAATGCAGGGGGCGTGGGTTCGATCCCTGGTCAGAGAACTAGACCCCACATGCTACAACTAAGAGTTCTCCTGCCACAGCTAAAGATCTTGCATGCCACAACTAAGACCCAGTGCAACCAAATAAATAAATACAGCTCAATCATAATTTTTGTATTGACAACATGTTGAAATGATATTTGGATATACTGAGTTCATAAGACTATATTATTAAAATTAATTTGATCTGTTTCTGCTTTGCTTAAAGTGACTCCTAGAATGTTTTAAATGACACACGTGGCTCCCTTTATGTCTAAACACATGGGATTACATCCTCTTCAGCTCTAGACCCCCTTCATGGATCATTGCCTTGTCGTGGAGAAGGGGGTTGCATAACAATGAAGCTGTGAGCCATGCCATGAAGGGCCACCCAAGGTGGATGGGTCACAGTGAAGAGTTCTGACAAAACGTGGTCCACCGGATGAGGAAATGGCAAATCACTCCAGCATTCTTACCAAGAGAACCCCAAGGACAGTATGAAAAGGCAAAAAGATATGACACCAGAAGATGAGTCCCCCAGTTCTGAAGGTGTCCAATATGCTAATGGGGAAGAGCGGAGGGCAACCATGAATAGCTCCAAAAAGAGTGAAGTGGTTGGGCCAAAGTGGAAACAACACTCAGTTGTGGATATGTCTGGTGATGAAAGTAAAGTCTGATGCTATAAAGAGCAATACTGCATAGGAACCTGGAATGTTAGGTCCATAAATCACGGTAAACTGGACATGACCAAACAGGAGATGGCAAGAGTGAACATCAACATTTTAAGGATCAGTGAACTAAAATGGATAGAAATGGGCAAATTTAATTCAGATGACCATTGTATCTACTATTGTGGGCAAGAATCCCTTAGAAGAAATGGAGTAGCCCTCAGTCAACAAGAGTCTAAAATGCAGTACTTGGGTGCAATCTCAAAAATGACAGAATGATCTCTCCATTTCTAAGCAAACCATTCAACAACATAGTAATCCAAGTCAATGCCCCAACCACGAATGCTGAAAAAGCTAAAGTTGATCGGTTCTCTGAAAACCTACAAGACCTTCTAGAACTAACACCAAAAAAAAGATGTCCTTTGCATCATAGGGGATTAGAATGCAAAACTAGGAAGTCAAGAGATACCTACAACATTTATTTTTCCCTTAAACCTTCAAAAATTGATGCTTTTGAACTGTGGTGTTGGAGAAGACTCTTGAGAGTCTCTTGGACTACAAGGAGATCAAACCAGTCAATCCTAAACGGAATCAGTCCTGAATATTCATTGGAAGCTGAAACTTAAATACTTTGGCTACCTGATGTGAAGAACTGACTCACTGGAAAAGACCCCGATGCTGGAAAAGATTGAAGGCAGGAAGAGAAGGGGATGACAGAGGATGAGGATGAGATGGTTGGATGGCATCACTGACTCGATGGACATGAGTTTGAGCAAGCTCTGGGGAGTGGTTATGGGCAGAGAAGCCTAGCTTGCTGCAGTCCATGGGGTCACAAAGAGTCAGACACAACTGAGTGACTCAGCTGAACTGAACTAAAACTTCAAAAGTTCAGAGGTCTGCTTTTCCTCTTTCCTTTACTGATAAGTATCAGCAAAGCTTTCACTCTGAAATGTGTCACCTCTGTCAACTATAAATTGGCACTGGCCGAGAGCACTTGCCAGTGACTAAACAAGAACAAGGGCGTTTGCCATCTGCTTCTGTGGAAACTGAACCTGGGCTGCTGCAGCTGTTGACCTTCAAGATCTGCTGAGGGAATCCAGGGTGGAGTGAGACACTCTGTGCTCCAGGAAATCTGGTGGGACAGGTCTTTAGATAGTTAGATACTTCCAGGAACTGATTTCATGATCCCAAACTTTGTATCCTTTCATACCTAGGAAAGCACTAAATCCCTTCCTGCTGACATCAGCTCCTCATGACTAGCAGAAAACCTTGTGTAAAGTAAGCACTCAATTGCATTTAACTCGCCTACTGACCTTCCTTCTTCCCACTGCCTCTTTGGAGCAGTCTCAGAGCTATCTGCAGCCCTCATTTTACCCCAAATAAAACTTAACTCACAACTCTCATGTTGCACATCTTTTTTGTCGACACCTCGATAACACCCATTTCCACTTCCCCTCTTCCTGCAGCCTTGCACATCCCCATCGCTCATTTCAGTGTGAAGCACTCAACTCCAGGATCCAATCAGAGCATGCCACCTATGCATATAACCAGCCTGGGCTAGGCCCTTTGGGACTTGGGACTGCACCTTCAAGCACTCAGACTTGTATTTCTTGCTGGGCTTGAGTTGGGAGGTGCCAGCAAACAAAACCTGACAAGAATGGGAAGTGGATCCACGACATAGAGAGCAACTGACTCCCATCCATACCATCTTAACAGTAATATCATGCCTGAAGTCTGCCCTACCCTCAGACTTTTTATAGGATAAGCAGCTAAATCCCTTTCCTTGTCCATGCAATTAGGGTTGGGTTTTCAGTGACAGGAGGCTGCAAATCTCTGCTACTATTATAGACCATCGGATTAGAGCCTTTCGTGTTCTTGATCTAAAATCCTGTCTAGCTTCTCGTAAACCATCAGGGTCTCTAATCACAGAGGTGATCTTTCCCCAAGGCCCTTCATCCCTTCCACAGCAACAGTACTCTGACCTCAGAGGGTCACAAAGCCCCTCCCTGTCCTCTATTACTTGTTTTTAGAAAAAGACTTATGTTTCCTAGACCCTCCCTGAGTTCCAAAGAGCAGACTCAAGCAGTTACTAATTAGGGAAGGGAGGGAACATAGAAACAGAATAGAAGCAACCATCAATTGTTCAAAACAAAAAAGTAATAAATAAAAATTTTTAAAAGAAAAACAAACTCCCAAAAATAGAAAATATGAAAGGATAATTTAGTGATAAAGCAAAAATCCTGTTCATAGACATAGAGAACAAACCTATAGGTTGCCAAGAGGATGGATGAAGGGAAAGGATAGTTCCAAAGTTTGAGATTGACTTATACACACATATTTTAAATGAATAGTCAACAAGGACCTATTGAAGAGCACAGGGAACCTGCTCAATGTTATGTGGCAGCCTGAATGAGAAGGGAGTTTAGGGGAGAATGGATACAAGGATATGTCCGGCTGAGTCCCTTCACTATTCACCTGAAACCATCACAACATTGCTTGTTAATCAGCTATACCCCGATACAAAATAAAAAGTTTTTTAAAAAGGAATATTATAGCAACAACAACAAAAAGAAAACCAGATATCTCAAGGTAAGGAACTGAGGACTTTTCTATGTTTGGGGAAGATGCAAGAGTCTTGCTGAAATCATTCCTTTGGTATGCACCTCAGCTATCTGGGGCCAGTATCTTGGGTTTTCACATCCTGACATTCCTCAGGCTGCAGTCTGATGTCTGCTATTAATAGATGGCAGGTATTCTTTCCTTCCTGAGTTTCCTCAGTGCTCACCAACTCACCATCAGTGGTGGCTGCAATCACCAATGACTGTGTCATCCCTGTCTACTGATACGGCAGGAAATACTCAATTTTTCACATCTCTTACATCATCTCTCTCCTCTGCTACATCATCCCAGGTCCTTCTCAACCGTTTTCAAGCCTGTACTCTCCCTTCGTTCCCATGTCAGCCACCTCAGTCCCTCACTCCGAATCCTGCTAGATTTCAATCCAGAACCTTCACCAGGCAGCGACTGCCAGGCCAGCCGCTCTCTCTTGCTAACTCTTCAGGTGCCTCCACTTCTCAACTCCACAAGCTGCTTCCTGTCTCGGGGCATCCCCACAGGCGGGTCCCTTGGCCGGAAATGCTGTTCCCAACCTTTCTCCCTCTTCACCCAGCTGACCCACAGGTTTTAAGCTCCTGCTTAAAAAGTTATTTCTCTTGGGATTTTTCCGGTGACCCAGTGGTTAAGGTTCCATACTTCCAATGCATGGGGCGTGGATTCCATCCCTGGTTGGGGAACTAAGATTCCATGTGCTGTGCAGTGTGGCCAACATAAATAGATAATAAAAAGTAAATAAATAAAAAGTTTTTTCTCATATGCAAACATTGACAGCAGCCCTACTGACAGTAGCCAGTAAGTGCAAACAACTCAAATGTCCTCCAGCTGATGGATGGACAAGCAAAATGTTATATGTCCAGAAATGGAATATATTATTCTGCTATAAAAGAATTAAGTACTGATGCATTCTGCAGAGTCTTCAGAAAGGACCACAGAGAGTATGATTTCATTTATATGAGATGTCCAGAAGAGGCAAATTCATGGGGAAAAGATTATTGGCTGCCTGAACCTTGGGGAGGAACACTGGGGGGTGGTTGGGGATGACAGCTAATGAGTCTGGGGTGCCTTCTGAGATGGCTAAGAATGTTCTGAAATGAGACAGTGGTGATGGTTGTGTGACTTTACGAATATACTAAAAACCACTGAACTGGATGCTTTAAAAGGGTGAATTTTATGGTATGTGAATTATATCTCAATTTAAAAAAACTGCATGAGAAAGGAAAAGCTATTTCTCTGGGGAGCCTCCCAGACCCTCTAGAAATAGGTCTGTCCTTTGAACACAGTCGTGTGTGTGTGTGTGTGTGTGTGTGCGCACGGGCACTCAATTATGTCCAACTCTTTGTAACCCCATGGACTGTACCCTGCCAGGCTCCTCTGCCCACGGAATTTTCCAGGCAAGAACAATGGAGCAGGTTGCCATTTCCTACTGCAGGGGATCTTTCCAACCCAGGGATCAAACCCACATCTCTTGCATCTCCTGCACTGGCAGGTGGAACACACTCTTACCACCTGGCAGTTCTTCCTAGCACTGATCATATTGCAATTAAAGAATCTGTGTGATTGCACATTCGTGCTAGAACCTTCTTTCAAATGACAGGGCATAGCACTAAGCTGAGGTGCTAAAAATTCTCTGGCTGAGCAGCTGCTGGCTTCTGCAGGGCTCACCTGTCCTCCTCTGTTCCAGAGCCTTCCCAGCACTGTGTCCCTGGAGATACTCAATAATAAATATTTGCTGAATGAAAACAATAAGCAGCAATGGTTTTTATCAGGGGAGAAGATGAAAGAGCCTCTTCCCACTGACTTAATGTATACCTGCAGTTTCTGAAACTGGGCAGGACCCTGGGGGCTTCTGGGTAAGGAAGCCTTTACAAGAAATAGGCATCATACAGCCTCGGTGACCTTCCCTGAGTTCCAAAGAGCAGGTTCAAGAATTGCTCATCAGGGAAGGGAGGGGTTGCGGAGACAAGGGAAGAGCAGTCAAGAAACAATACTGCAGCCTTGGGACAGGGTCGTGATTCCATGTCAAGGGGTTCACAGAACAGTATCTTTGAGCTCTTCTGCAGAGCCAAACCCCCAGCAACACTTGATGGTTACAGCAAAGTTCAGACCTATACCAGCAGAGGGTTCCCTGGGCAGTAGGGTCAGGGCTGTACTAGATGTGATGATATTTGCTTTCCTCCTTTTTTTTCCCCTCCAGTGCATTTCCACAAAGTCTTCTGTTTCCTTCTGTTATCTGAACTACTTCCCATCAAATAAAATCACTTCACGCTGTGTTTCAGACAGAGGAAAAAGAGAACACACAACCACACACCCCTGTACGAAGTCTGGCTCTCTCAACGCAGGGACACTGCATTCACCCTGGTGTCAGAGCCCTGGCCCAAGCACTTCTAAAAGAACTCCCTACTCTGCTGTGTAATTCTGGCTTTTTGTTTTTAATGTTTCGGCCCCACCAAAAAAAATAAAAATTAAATTGAACCTATGCTCTCTGCATTAGAAGTGTAGAGTCTAAACCACTGAACCCCTAGGGAAGTCCCAGAACTGTGGACCTAGGAAGTCTCAATCCTTCACCACCTTTTCTTGTTTTCCATCTCTTGTTCTTTTTTTTTTTTTTTGGCCAAAATAGGTAGCTTGTGGGATCTTAATTCCCTGACCAGGAATTGAACCAGGGCACTCAGCAGTGAAAGTGCTGAGCCCTGACCCCTGGACCACCAGGGAAGCTCCTTCTTTTCCATCTCTTTTCTTGCATTTCCTTTTCGACTAAAAAAAGATGCACAGCTTGAGAGTTGCGAGTTAAGTTTTATTTGCGGCAAAATGAGGACTGCAGCCCTGGGAGGCAGCACCTCAGGTAGCTCTGAGAGACTGCTCCAAAGCGGCAGTGGGGGAAGATTACATACAAGGTTTTGGGGGAGGCGGCGTTCAATACCATGAAGCATTCATTGTACAAAAGGTTTCCTGCTAGTTGTGCGCATCTGATGTCACCACAAAGGGATTTCGTGCTTTTCTGGATGTGAGGAGATGCAAGGATCAAGCTGGGTTTAGAAAAGGAAGAGGAACCAGAGATCAAATTGCCAACATTTGCTGGATCATAGAGAAAGCAAAGGAATTCCAGAAAAACATCAACCTCTGTTTCATTGACTGTGCCAAAGCCTTTGACTGTGTCGTTCATAATAAACTGTGGAAAGCTCTTAAAGAGATGGGAATACCAGACCATCTTACCTGTCTCCTGAGAAACCTGTGTGCAGGTCAAGAAGCAACAGTTAGAATCCAGCATGGAATTACTGATTGGTGCAAGCTTGAGAAAGGAGTATGACAGGGCTGTCTGCTGTCACCCTGTTTGTTTAACCTATATGCAGAGCACATCATGAGAAATGTCAGGCTGGATGAGTTACAAGCTGAAATCAAGATAAGTGGGAGAAACATAAACAACCTCAGATATGCAGATGATACCACTCTAAAGGCAGAAAGAGAAGAGGAACTAAAGAGCCTCTTGATGAGGTTGAAGGAGGAGAGTGAAAGAGCTAGCTTAAAACTAAATATTAAAGAACTAAGATCATGGCATCTGGCCCCATTACTTCATGGCAAATAGAAGAGGAGAAGGTGGAAGTAGTGACAGAGTTCCTCTTCTTGGGCTCTAAAATCACTGTGGATGGTGACTGCAACCATGAAATCAGAAGATGTTTGCTTCCTGGCAGGAAAGCTATGACAAACCTAGACAGTGTGTTGAAAAGCAGAGACTATACTCTGCCGACAAAGGTC